AATTGGTTTGAGCCCACAGCAATTATGACTTTGAAAACCCTCCTGACATTAACCTGGGCCATTCACAATGTCAAAGCCTTATTGTGGGCGATAAGTATTTGTAGGATTGGGCCCTTATATAATGAATCTGTGAATTAAAAATTAAATTGACATTTAACATGATTAAAAAATCCTACTTAAAAATATGTATTGAATGGGTTAGAGCAATTTTGTAAAGTAGGTTATTAAACTGGCACAGAACTAGTCTAGTCTTTGTCTGTTACAGTATTTTGCTTGAGTACAATGGAACACTAATAATTTTATATCATTTTCAGCGGAGGCCTCCACCACCTGTTCCCCCAGCTGAGCAAAGTGAAGATGAAGAGGAAGAAGAAATAGTAGTAGCAATGTATGATTTTCTGCCTGCAGAACATCATGATTTAAGATTGGAAAAAGGTGAAGAATATACAATAATAGAGAAAAATGACATGCATTGGTGGAAAGCAAGAGATAAACATGGGTAAGCAGCATTTCCACCCATCATGGTGTAAATAAAGCTACCCCCAACTATAATTTTAGGTTGTTTTGTCCAATATATATATATATATATATATATCTATCTATCTATCACGAATGATGGACATAGAAATTGGGTATGATTTAGTGATCTTTATCTGATCTTGGACTCCAATCCTGGATTCTGCATGGATCAGGACCTTATGCCTTTCTAGAACTCCCTAGAGCCAAGAGGCTCTGTACTAACTCTGGGATCATTCTGTACAGTTGGGGATTTGTATGCATAGGTTTCTTGTTAGGCATTAACTAAATTTTACCAACTTTTTCATTTTTATAGGTTAAAAAATTCAGAAACCTTTTCCTATGTATTTGGAAGTTGTTTCAGACATCTTGCACTGGTCTTAATGAGAATTATCATGCTTCAAAATTCACCAGTTCCTTGGTGAAAAAAATAGTTCAGGGTAATTTTGTGTTAGTAAACTGCAGTACGGTGGTTGTGGTAATATATATTTTAGGAACAATAAGCACCTCATCTCTTCTGACAGCACTGTTTAGAGACTATTTCTTGTGATGAAGTAGGGGGAAGCCAAAGTAGAGAGCTAGTATGGCTATTCATATTGCTCCCCTTTACTGGTTGTTGTACAGGAGGAGTAGTTAGGCTCAGAAATTAAACCTGGACACTTCTGTATACATTGTAACTTCATTAGATGCAAGGAAAATGAGTCTGGGTAAAAAAACCCTCTCTCTCTCATGAGAATTTGAACTGATCAGTAATAAGGTAGATCAGTGGTCTCCAAACTTTTTTGATCGCGCACGCCTATCAGTAAAAAATTTTTGAGCACGCACCCCCTATATATGTATATTTATATAAATATAAATAGAAGTTCTAATATTTTCTTCCCGCACCCCAATGGATTGTCTTGTGCACCCCGTGGGGTGCATGCACCCCACTTTGTAGACCACTGAGGTAGATAATTACAGGTGATTTCTTTTTAGTAGATGAAACATGAATTTTCAATTTTTTTAGATTATATCATGATTAAAATTTATTGTGTAATGTTTCTCTCTTTCTAGAAATATAGGATACATTCCAAGCAATTATGTGACAGGAAAGAAGTCCAACAACCTTGACCAATATGAGTAAGTGAAAACTTTCATAAAAATAGGAAATAGAAAATAATAAACATTAAATATTATCAAATGCAAGGAAACCATATTTAAAATTCTGTATAAATGATAGGTTATGAAATTGAGCTCAAAGATGAACCTTCTGAAAAATATATTAAATGTGCATATTTTTCCTGTTTTTCCTCTCACCTGCATTGTTGTCACTGAGGTATGTGTCTTGATTTACAGTGAGGTGAGTAGGAGAATCAGGATGTAGTTTTCAGTCAGTCAGCAGCAAAAATATTGATAGATTAAGAGAAACATTAAATTACCTTCATCTGTAATGAAACTGCATGTAGTCAATGGTGTGATGGTCATCTGAAAGTACTGTCATCTGACAGTATGAGTAAATCTGTGTTCTCTTTTCTTTGTGCCCAAGCAAAGATTGTTAACTGAACAAAGTAAACATACCAGACCAGAGATTCCAGACCAAGAAGTTCAGACTTCAAAAGATAACTCTGTGTATAGTTTAAACATTAGCACATTTAATCAGTTTATAAGCCAAAACAGTCTTGAAGGTACTACTGGGCTTTTATTAACGTCAGGCTCTTGCTGATTTTGGACAACATGGGTAATTTTGAGCTCATTACAAGACACAGAAAGATAGAAATGTATACTGTTATGAATGTCACCACTAATCTGATTTTAAAATGATTTTTTTAATATTGAAACTTCAGGTCATGAGTAAAAACAGGCATAAAATTGTCATGTTTTATATGCATTCCTGCATTTTAAATCAACTCAGACCATAAGAAAAGAACATTTCAGTCTGTAAAGACATGTTATATTTCCATATTTTCAAAGCTCTGCTCCAAAAAACTTTCTTCTTTCCATTTCTAGTTAATGGGTGAAGACAGGGTCTTGTTGTTGTTGTTGTTGTTGTTGTTGTATTTGTTAATCTTTGTTAGCTAAGGTTACTGATTCTCTCCCAGAGCATATTGTTCTCTGGTTTTTGAAGCTGTCACTCTGACCTTGCCCAGATCTGTGCTGGATAAAGTGATTAGGAAGTAATTGAGTTACCCTGTCTGTTGAAGCCACTTAGGGTAGAAACAGATGTTGCCTTTCCTTGTCTTTGTATCACCATAAATATAGCACAAGAAACTCCATTTTCCCCTGTGTACAGAGATTCCCTCAGGTGTCTCTCTTTACGCAGAGAAAGCTGTATAGGGATTCCTTGGGCTTGAGGGGCCCACTCCTGCACAGGAATTCCAGAAGAACATATAGCCTGTTTGTCCCACAGCATCAATGGGCAGGACAACAGTCAAAGTGTGTTTTACCCAGTGAAATGGATCAGCTGTGGCAGGACGCATCCTGGTACAGCTGATCCACTTATTTTGATGATATCTATTTCTAGCCTTAGTATATCACAACATGCCTGTCTTATCCTTGTGATTTTGTAACCAATTCAGGGAGCAAGAGTGCCTCTGGTGTTGTAGAACTGATGTAGAAGCTTGAATGTTACTTCCCAAACTACTGCCATTGTAGCAGGAGATGTAACTGGCTGCTTCTGTGCCATACTGATCCCCTGCTGTCTAACTGCTAGGGACCATCTGAAAATGGCATACATTTGAACTGCCCTTTGCTTGTTCTAGCCTGGTAGAGGGATTGATTTAATTGACTCCTGACTTGCTTTCTGCATACATCAGTTACAGCTAAAAATCAGGCTCACAGCAATCTATAAAGCAGTCTATCAGTGAACTCACTAGGGCTGCGGTGTATGTAATTTCAAACCGTTTTAAACAGGAAGTGGCAGGGGACTTGCTGGCCAGAAGTGTGCATCAGCTGATCCCAAATATCTGTTACATCTGTCTGCTCCTGTACAGGTATAAAGTGAGCTGAGCTACTAATTTTAAACTTGAATATAAAGTTATAGTGGTTTAACTCCATTTATACCAGTATGGCCATGTCCAGATGAGCATGAATGTTTGTTTCCCTGGGGACAAGCAGCAGCAGTACATGTTATGCTGCTGCTACTTGTCCTTAAGGAACACTTGTGCCATGCGTGCTCTGGCACACAGCAGGTTACCCTAAGTGGGATAGGGGAGGCTGGGGCCAGCAACTGTGCTGGCCCCAATATGCTTACCTGGGGGCCTTGGGGAGCCACAGCCATGGTGCATCTGAAGCTGGGAGCCTGGCTGGCAGCCGGAGCTGGCCAGGCTCCAGTTTTGGGTGGCACGTCCTGCAGCCATGTGCACTACCCTGCTTTTTTTTTTGGCATGGTTTTTTTTGACCTTGGGATCTCCTGGGGTCAATCCCCCCTTCCCTGCCTCCTGCACTGCAAGGCAGCAGCGTAGGGAATGCCTACATTGTGCAGTGTGTGGCGCTGCAGGTGGGTCTGCAGTGCTACATACCACATGTCTGTGCTTGTCTGGACTGTAGGAGCAGACAAAGGAACAGATATATTTGATACTGGAACAGCTTACACTCATATAGTTTGTCATTGGTATAACTGCTATATTGGTCTATACTCTATATGATTAGGGCTTATACAGCATGTTGAAAAAGCAGTTGACATTTTTCAGATTGCCATTATTTAGGGCATGCATTGAAATGATATCTGTAAAAAACATGTTCTTGACTGGTATTTTTGTTGCAGAGAGTTATATATCCTGAGCTTTATTGCATTCTGTGCTTCTGTAGGATCTCATTGGATTAATTTTAGAATATTGTTTTGCCTATACACTACAGAATGTGATAATGGCTGAACCATTGTTTTGCAAATTCACTATGGTTCAATAGATTTAGTTTTTTCCTTACATATCACACAATATGCTGAATCACTTTAACTTCTCTCAGTAAGTATATTATGCTTTGTTTTTATTTGATTTTTTTTTTTATTAAAAAACATGTTAAACACTTAAGATTTTTGTCATTTTTTTGTTCAGATGGTATTGCAGGAATCTGAACAGAAGCAAAGCAGAACAACTCCTTAGAAATGAGGTGAGTACTTACATTATTGGAACATGCATTCACCTAGCACGAAATTGGTAAATGCATTCACTTATAGTACCTTATTTTATTAATAAGATGATCATTTAACTTTGACTCAGAGATAACAGAGAGCACATCTGTGAAGAAATACAGTAAACTTCTTGAGGCATAACATCATTGTATTTAAATTTTAGGATAAAGAAGGTGGCTTTGTGGTGAGAGACTCAAGTCAGCCAGGACTGTATACTGTGTCCCTGTATACAAAATTTGGAGGGTAAGTTACAGTGGCAGTGGGCCATGCCCTCTTTTGTTTTAATTTGGTTTGCATAGATGCATGGACTGAAAGACTTCAACAGAGAAACAAAACCAGAATTTTAGAAATTGAATGCTTAAGGTTGGTTCCCTTTTCAAAGTGTTGAACACATTTTTACTGGAGTTGGAAGTAAATTACATAGAACCTTCTTAAAATTCCGGTAACTTACTAGTTCAGACATGAATCATCAAAGTTTTGGCTTAATGTTATGGTGTTTTTGGTCTTTCATGCACAATTTGCACATTGGGGGTAGTGCAAATGTGTCAACATCAAAAGGGTATCTGAGGATATGTCTATACCACCTCCTTGCCAAAGGCAGCATTGTCAGTGAGAAACAAACCTAACCCACTTGACCCAATTCCCCTATTCTCAAGTCTAGCATTAAGGCAGGATAGACAGCTTAGAGGGGCCCTGAGCATGTTTTCTGTCTACTCTAATTGTTGGGTTTGGGCACAGACAGAGCAGGAACAGATGAGTGAGGCTATGATCATAATCACATGGTTGTCTGCATTTGTTGTATGGGGTATAAAACAGAAGTATACCATTTGTTCCTATTTATCCATCTTGCAAAGCTACATAAAGTATAATTTATGGAAATTACTGGACAGTATTTATCATCCAGTGTATGAAACATTATTTCATTTCCTATTTAACATGTACCTCTCATTGCATTTTAATTTTTGTTTCTTTAGAGAAGGTTCATCAGGAATAAGACACTACCATATAAAAGAAACAGCGATGTTACCGAAACAGTACTACCTAGCAGAAAAACATCTTTTTGACTCCATACCAGAGATAATTGAGTATCATAAACATAATGCAGCAGGTAAATATTTGTTTTGATTTAATTAAATGGAAGCTGGTTTCGATAGGAAAGGGATGCAGTTTTTAAATAGTTGCCCTCCTACTCCAAGTTTTTAAGGTTTGTTCTAAAATATGCGGAGTCATTGCTATATTCTTTCTAATGAATTTTGACTGCTTTTTATATCGCCTATCAGCTTGCTTCCCAGTGGGTTAGATGCCTTGGCTATGGTTTAGAGTCTTGTCAGGCATTACCTTTATGGCAGAGGTGGCCAACCTGTGGCATAGGTGTCACACTTGGTATGGGCAGCTTCTGTGCATATGGCATGTGGTATGTTGGGGAGGGAATGGGCAGCACAGTGACAGATAGGGCAGGGAGTATAAGGCAGAGCATCAGATCTGGCAGGAAACAGAAAGCAGAGCAGCAGGTTGATTGGGAACCAGAAAGCCGAGCAGCATATTGGGTAAGGGAAAAGGATTGACGTGGCACTTGGGGGAGGTGTGGGGCTAATTTGTAGCACATCTGTCAAAAGGGTTGGCCCACACTGATATGTGACATGATTTGAGCTTCCTACTCCCCATCTACATATACCACTTCAAACAGCCGTGCCTTCCTGCTTAAGCATGGGCTGTAGTCAAAGCAGACAACCTGTCACATGGGGGAGCCCTGCCATCAGGATTGGGCAGGGAACAGCCTTGGGCTTCTGATGCAGGGCTTCCCATGCAGTGGCAGCTGGCAGTTGTATGATTGGGGTCTGAGAAATGTTATGCCCTATTCCCAAAATTGCATTACCTGCTGTATGTGTCTGTTATGGGAGGTCATGCCATTTTAGGAATTGGGAATAAAATTCCTTAGACCCCAATTAAATGATTGCTTTAAAGAATGGCAGGAACTCTACAGACATATGCAGGAAGCCAGAGAAGTACAGCGGATGTGCACTCTCTTGCCATTGATACTGCTCACTGATTTTTTCAGCATAAACCTGAAGGTTTTAGGTGATGCCTGTTAGTAAACTATTCAGATGGCAGCTAGAATTTGTACACTGATGTCCAAGGCACAACCCTTCTGCCAGCCCTGAAAGTGATTTAATTTAGGAAACCCAACACCAGCCATGTGGTACAAAAAGATCGTCCTGGCACCTGGGGTTAAGTTCCTGTGGCTGTGCAGCCAGAATCCACTTAGTCATTAAGTGTGCACTTTGGTATCTGGCACAGTGCATGGAAATGAAAATAATTAATGTTCTTCATTCGTTTCCAGACTGTGGTCATCCCCTCTCCCAGTTTCAATTTGAAATATTTTAACATTAAATTCAGGTGGACCAGTGGCCCTCTGATAAGTACCCAAACATGTTTTGTTATCTATTAAACATGCATAGTTTTGTTCTCAGTAAAATATATAACTAGTTCTGCAGTCAAATACTACATTTGGCACCAAGGTAATTGCCTAAATGCATGGTTCTCCAAAAGATAACAATGCTTGGCTTTTTTTTTTTATTTCCTTTCTTTCCTCTACTTAATCTATTTTTCATTTATCATCATAGTCTTTGTCTTTTCATAATACATTTTAAAAGAATACTCAGAACCCTAATCTGGATGAAAGTGATTCCTTTTATTGCTAATGAGAGTTGTATGTACAAATCATAACTCTTCTGATGACAATACACCTTTTACAGAATTTTTCCATTTGAACTACAGTAAATGCAGACCTTGTGCAAGAAAAATTGGTGCTACGCTAGCTGTAAAATGTTCAGTATTTCAAAAATAAAAATGTATCTAACTTATCAAGCAAAATGCATTCTCTTAATTTTATAGATGCTGTAGCATCATCAGTGATTCCCATTTTTAATTTATTTAAGAACGGGCAAAAACAAACTATATTGGAAAAAAATCAATTCTGTCTTCTTTCTAAAGGATAAATCAATATCCTTTCATGGGTTTGAAATGAGATAGGGGATAATTCGTATTTTTGCACTGCTTTATGCTATTTCAGAGACAGGACTTTATCCATTTATGAACTTTCTTTGAACTTTAGGTCTGGTTACAAGGCTGAGATATCCAGTGACTCCAAAAATGAAGCCTGCACCCACTACTGCAGGGTTCAGCTATGGTAATCAACACCTCTCTTATATTACCTAACTTTTTTAGGTGGCATTTCATTTAATAAAACTAAACTGACACGACATGAAAAATGACAGAAGTTTGATTTCATATTGTCAATCTGCATTTTACTTGTGTTTCCATGGTCAACCATTAAACCCTCCAGAGAAGATGGCTTTGGGGACCCACAACATGGACAGCAATGCAAGGGTGGTTGAGGGAAGTATGTTGTCAGGGAGAAGTGATGGAAAGGTTCAGAAAGTATATACCTGGCCCTCTGCAAGTATTCAGTGCCCCAGTGGACATTCTGATATTTGCTTCCATTAGAGGGTCATACCTTGCCTCTCTTATACAGGCTCTTAAACTTCCCCTCCTCAAATCTGATTTCTTAAACAAAGAAGGGAATTAAATGCTCTGGCTCCTCCTTAGTATTTCAGTCATTGCCCAGGCAGGTTGTACAGCTTCAGTGAATGGGCACAGTCTTTGATTATAGCGGCATGCTGAGCCAAGTCTGATAATATAGTATCAGCATGTAATAATGTTGTGTTGTGTTTTTTGGTTTTTTTTTTAAAGGGTTTTTCTAGCTCAGTTAGCAGCTCCTAATAAATTGTAGCTGTTTCATAATTTATCCACACTTTAGGTGATTAAAAACTAGGACACTTTCAAACTGGTCATAAGGAGCTTTATACCCAAATCTGTAAGCAGTTCAACACCTTATTCTATCACCATACATTCAGTTTGCATATACATATAACAGTCCTTGGTTTTTCTTTCTTACAGAGAAATGGGAAATTAATCCATCAGAACTGACATTCATGAGAGAATTGGGGAGTGGTCTTTTTGGAGTAGTGCGACTTGGCAAATGGAGGGCACAGTATAAGGTAGCCATCAAAGCAATCCGAGAAGGTGCAATGTATGAGGAGGACTTCATAGAGGAAGCTAAAGTCATGATGTAAGTTATTGTTAAGTACTTTATATAGCAGACTTCAGATTTCTGATACTGTGTACCAGAGGCAGATCCAGAGTGGGTGCAGTGGTGCAGCTGCAGTCCCTTTTTGGATTGGACTGCACTATATGGGAGTCTCTGGGGATTTTTTTAAAGTCCCCAAAGCAGTTAGGAATCCTCTCCCATCCTCTCTGAACATCCCTTCCCTTCTCCACTCTCCCGCTTTTCAGCTTCTGCTTTCTCTGCTATTCTAGGGGCAGGGTAAGCTTCAAAGCCACTTGTGTCCACTCTACCAGCTACACAGGAGCTGGACGCAGCAGTAGCAGCAATTTGATTTTTTGGCCAGAGATCCACTCCCTGTGCCTGCTCCTGGGGAACTGAGCAGGCTTGGGGCACCCATCATTCCTGCGCATCACTGCTGCTGCCACTGTCGCTGATCTCAGCCCCCATGCAGCCTGGCTGGAGCAGGCAGGAATGACTTTGAAGCTTCCCCCACCCCTAGGAGAGGGGAAGAAGCAGAAGCTGTAGATGGGGGAGCAAGGAAAAGTCGGTGAGGTGGGATTTTCACCTGCTTTAGGGATTTCAAATCCTTGGAGTTTGCCAAGAGTGGTCTTCCTGCATTGGTGGGGATGGTGTAGGCTGGGAGCGGGAGGTGCAGCGACCCCTTCAGTGCATGTTGTTGCCCATGCACCCCCATTTGGGAAATCCTTGATTCACTGCTGCTGTGTACTGTTTTTTATATAATACTTTTACGTCTACATAAGATCTGTATAACTTTTTTTGAAGCAGGGTAAATAACAGTAAATATATTTTTGATCTTGAAAGGAAGCTAACACATCCTAAATTAGTTCAGCTGTATGGGGTCTGTACGCAGCAGAAACCTATTTACATAGTGACTGAGTTCATGGAACATGGCTGCCTCCTGAATTACCTGAGACAAAAACGTGGACGTATGAGTAGAGATGCCCTCGTGACTGTGTGCCAAGATATATGTGAAGGAATGGAGTATCTGGAGAGCAATGGCTTTATCCACAGAGATCTGGTAACAGCATGTTGATTTATTTACTATTTTTTTTTAAATTTATATTTGGACATTAAAAGCCAAGGGTAACAAACTATTTCTGTTATTCAGAATGTTCTCAATCCCCCAACCCTGTTGTTTAACTATTTCTGTTAAAATTAAACAAAATACTAATAATTGTCTGTTCTGAATTAGGATAAGAAGTTAATCTCTGCATAAGGAGTGGGTCTGAAGTCTCTCTGAAATGTTTGTAATAAAGTTCATATGGTGTATTCTGTGCAAAAACGCAGTATTATAAATCACTATTCAGAATTCCATGTAGCCTAAAGAGTTTGTCTTCAGTAGCACGTATATTTACACTTGAAGGGTGTGTCCAGATGATAGCACGTGTGTTTCCCTGGGGACAAATATCAGCAGCATATAGTTGTGCTGCTGCAACTTGTCTGGGGGGAACGCCTGTTTATGCACACAAGTTGTCCCAGGTGGGGTAGGGGAGGCTGGGGCCAGCACCTGGGGCCCTGGGAGCTTCCTGGGGCCCCAGCAGTAGTGATCTGATAGCAGAGAGCCTGGCTGGCAGCTGGAGTGTGGCTCTGGCCCACCTGCTTCTGGTTTTAGGTAGCACACGCTGCTGCCACATGTACTGCCCTGCTGCTTTCTAGCGCAGATTTTTTTGACACTGGAATTTCCTGGTGTCAGAAAACACCCCCCTCTCTACAAATTAGCAGCTCAGGGAGTGCCTGCAGACGGATCTGTGTCACCACGTACCACATATGCATACTCATCTGGATGCGTTCAAAGATTATTATTTATCTTGTTTCATAACAGGAATCAGTCAATGATTTATGGTAGCACAGCAGTTAGTAAAAATATAGCACACAGAGTTAAAATAAATGGAATTGTGTCTTGAAAATTTTCTATATTAAATTGCACAATGGAATTTATTGCATGGTTTTAAATAAAATATAAAAGGAAATTTCAGATCACAGGAATTGATCTATCTTTCATACTGTGTTAACATGATTGGCAATCACATTAATGGTAAATTTTAACCCAAGCATATAAGTTATGTACTTTTCTTACAGTAACAAACTGTTGTATCATATTAAGAGTAGAATGGGATGTTTCTGTGACTTACAACTGTAAGGACCTTATTGCATGCTCATTTTAGGTGGCTCCTGGAGCTCTTTACCGTTGGATTGTCCACATGTTAACATGTGAAATTAGTTATAAATAGTCTTTAGGCAGGTTAAAGTTACTCCACTCCAGCCTAGGTTTATTTCTGGTCCCTGTTACCCAGCTTGTGTTGGCCTAGAGTAGCTACACATTAGTCTATACATTAGTGTGAATACCCCACCTGCCCCCACACTCCCACATCCCCACAGGACAGCAGGCAGGTGCAAGTAAGCTGGGGAGGCAGGGGTGGAGCCCTGGGGGAAGGGGGGAGCAGGGAGGAAACCCCAAGGAGCAGACTCGCAGGGGGCAGGGGGAAGCCCAGAATGGGAGTGGAGGTTGGGGGATTCTTCCCTTTCAGTCCTCAAAGCCCTTACTGGCTTGAATGTATAACTGCTCCAAACCTGAGCTAGCACCACCACTGATCAGTATTTGAGCAGCAAAAATTGCAATGTGTAACAAGGTCCTAAATTAAGCCCATTACCACTACACTCTATCATTGCCATGAGTTAAACCTTAAATGAAAGGAAAATTGGAAATGAGTAGGTTCTGAGATGCCAAAAAGATAGGCAGCAGGGACCAGAAGTTGTATCTATCTTGCACTAGAATAAGCCAGAGTAGGATTGAGTCCCCAGAATTACAGCTCAGTGAATGAGAAATAGTGATGGATAGAATCTTACTGAGTTACATGATAAAGTAAAATATTTTGGGTGATATCTTGAACCAACTGCATAGTTGGCCTAAAGTTCAGATGCATTCAAAAGCTTGTCTAATTTTATGCTAACTATGCAGTTGAACCAATAAAAGATATCATCCCAGAAAACCTTTGCCTCTTGCATAATTCCTGGACCATCATGGCTACAACATCACTCTAAGACTGGGTTAAATTATTTACCATAATTTCTGAGATAAATTTTGGTTTACATTGGGGTAGCTCTAACTTTGACTGACTTTGATCTGTGCTGATATAAACAAAAGAATGAAGTGACTGGAATAGCAGGGGACTAGCCTCTGTGATGCAAGACATGCCTTCTAGTCATGTGCTTCTAGGTTTGATGTATATGAAAGAAGAGGGTATCCCATGTAGAAACACAGTGTATAGAACACAGCATTTTTTTTCTCAGTATTAATTACAAATTGGGCTTCACAGCAAAAAATGCCAAATCATACAACTTAAGCTGAACAGAAGCCCAATAAAACTTAGTGGGATTTCTGTTTGTTTAGAGATGGTAGAATGTAATGTACAACTAATATAATTTCATTTTAGCTCCTCCTTATTTATATTTTTCCTTATCATTGATATATAAAATTATTCCTTTTTCAGGCTGCCAGAAACTGTTTAGTGAATGAATCGGGAGTGGTGAAAGTGTCTGATTTTGGAATGACAAGGTATGGATAAGTCTGTATGTGCATATACATTTTTTAAATTAAATGAACACAATATTTGTGGCTATTTTGCACTTTTTAAAGTGGAAAAAGCAAAATCATATGTTTTATATATTAAGTGTACCTGAACAGTTACATGGGGTTTTTGTAGTTCCCATTTCCTCTGAACACAATATACAGACTAGGCTCTATCCTCTGTTCTGCACCACTTTTGAGACTACTAATGATATATGAAGTGGGTCTTGTGTATACAAGTTCTCTTTAATGCTTATGTAATTCCAGGAAAAACTATGATTGAGCAAAAATTTTTGGTGACAATAATTTTTTTAAGTGAACGTTAATGATTTCATAATGTTTTCACCTTTTCCATTTTCCTTATGATAAACAGAATCTGAAATTGTTGATGCATGAGGCACAGTGGACTTCAGCTCTTGGATGGTGATATTCAGACCACAGTGTTAAGGATTATAAAAAAGAAAATTATTTATAAATATATGTATTTGTAAATAAAGGAAATGACATATGCCAGCTAGCTTACCTTCTAAGCAGGGGATGCCTGCTATATCTCCTCAGCAGGACACTGGGAGGCAGTATGTCCCAGGGAAATACAGTTCCTCTATTTCCCTGCATTTTCTCACCAGCTCCATTGGCTGCTACAAGTGGTGCCTGGTGTCTGTTGGGGAGTGGGTCACTGGAAGGAATTGGTCAGTGCACAGGCACTTCGTGCACTGTGCCAGGTTTCTTCCATCCTTCTCTCCTCGACTTGCATGCCATGCAGCATTTGAACATAGTGAAAAACAGGCTTATTGAGTAAGAAATTGGTAATTTTCACTTATTTACATGTTGAGACATTAACCATTAGGTGGCAACATGAGCTCCTAAAATACAAGCACGCATGAAATTGATGCTTTCAGAAATGGAGTCAGACTAGAAAATAATGTTTTGTCTGTTTCATTTTTTAGGTATGTTCTTGATGATCAGTACACAAGCTCTTCAGGTGCTAAATTTCCTGTAAAGTGGTGTCCCCCAGAAGTCTTCAACTATAGCCGATTCAGCAGTAAATCAGATGTCTGGTCATTTGGTACGGCATTCCTTAGCACTGCAATAAAAAAATCTCCTAGGAGAGGCCCAATAAAATTATTTTGCCCAGATTTATGTTGGTGTTACTCTACTGAAATCATGGAATCATTACTAATTTGTACTGAAATTAGGACTGCAAGTCTTGTTTGCTGGGTGATAGGAACATGGAACACTTGAAAAAACACAATAACAACAAATTCCAACAATTTTCCGTTTGAATAGAAAATTCATTGTTATAAGGCCCATGCCACATATCACATATATTATGAAATTAAGTAGTTAATTGTACAATAAATTTAGACTGGCCACACATGCAAAGTAATTATCATGTAATTAACTGGTTAATTGCACAATAAATTCAGGCTGACCATATGTGCAAAGTAATTATCACACCATAAAATGTCCAGCTATAAAAAGAGCTAACCATCTACAAAGTTAGTGCTTGAAAATGTATAATAACTTTAAAGCTGGTTTCTGCAGCTTTAATTTGAACATGTGGCAGTGCCTACAGTCATAATTTTGTTAACTATCTTGACAATCTTTTCATGCCTTTCCAGGTGTTTTAATGTGGGAAGTATTCACTGAGGGTAAAATGCCCTTTGAGAAGAACACAAACTATGAAGTGGTGACGATGGTGAGCCAAGGGCATCGTCTATATCGGCCAAAACTAGCTTGTAAGAATGTGTACGATGTGATGATGATGTGCTGGCATGAGGTATCTCTTTTATATCTCTCTTCATTTCTGTATTTTTATTCACCAAAGAGTTTGATCCAGCTGAAGGACCTGACTCCTTACTGTAAAATTCTGACAGCGTTTTATTTGAAAGGCAACTAAGTCATGTCTGAGGTAGCCTTAAGGCTACCTTTCTAGCCCCTCTAGAAAGTCACAAAATACAGGAAGAACAGTGGTTTGGGAAACCAGAATGGACAGAGTATCCTATGCATAGAGGCACTGTAAAAAATGATGACTTTGGGGGAAAAGATGAACATGGCAGTTAGGCTGCTGACACTGGAAAATGGGAGGGACAGGAAATAGAAAAATAAAAGATCAAAGGTCCAGAACAAGGTGAAATTTCTGTAATCCCTTTAAGGGTGCCTGGTTAGCCTACAAAAATCTCATGCCTCTCTGAGCCAATTTGTCTTCTAGATGCCAGTCTGCTTTGGCTGCTTTGTTAAGGTGAGGAAAATAGTTGAATAGTTGAATGAAAATAACTGTTGCTCCAAGATGTACAGCAGCTCTTACATTATAGCAGAGTTGTTTTCAACCAGGGAGCCATGGGCCCCATCAGAGGTGTTATGGGGGCAGTGGCCAGGTAAAACTGCTCCTGCATTCGGGCCCCCTAATCAGCTTAAAGCAGGCAGCAAAGCTGCTTTGTGCTGTGTAGCTCTTTCTGATCCTTCCCCCCAAATGCTCTTCTGAGGGACAGGGGCAGGTGAAACTGTGCTGTCGACATTCAGCTCCTGCCTGCCTCAGGTTGAGCAAAACCCTAATGCAGGAGGAACACGCACATGCGTCACAGCTCTCCCTGGGTGGGCCATGCAGCGGGGGGCTATTACATCACAGTTGCACAGTCCAGCTTAGAAGCACTCGGGTAAGGTGAGGCAGCACTAACTGATTCTCAGCCAGACGTGCTACCATGTTCAGAAAAGTGGTGGTGGGGTGCCTTTACCCTGAAAAGGTTGAGAACCACTGTTGTAACAGTTACATGTATACACATGCCCTTCATATAGCTGTAGCAAAAGAGCTCGACTTCAACACTGCTTCACCCTGGAGTTTAAGTTGGAGAAGTCTTGCTGCATTTGTTTGGCAATGGTGCTCTACTTGCGCTGGTGTAACTGTTGCAATGTAATAGTTTCTGGGTGCTCTCAAGCAGCAGCAGCTGTCCCTTGGCTTTTGCTACTGCTCGAAGTGTACACTTGCCTATGCCCATGGTGTATCAGAAGATCCAACCAAAGAAATCAAAGAGAAAGATAACATGGCCAGATCATTTTGAGAAGATGATTATTTTGGTGGCAGTGGCATGTATGGGGATAAGAGTAAGTAGCTGGAGTGACAAGATAGGAACAGTTTGATCAGCCACATTTATTACTTGAGTGGTAATTAGGCAAAGAACCAGATACAAGTAGGGATATAAAGGCAACAAGGGAATAAATTGAATGATTAATAGAGACAGCTGGGTAACTAAAAGTCAAATAAAGTCTAATGAAAAAACTTGAACTACAATGTCTTACTAGTGGAAGAGACCTATAATGTAACAGGCTCTATAAAGATGACCACAATACTTGGTAATTAATGCTAACACATTTTAGAAATGATATTCAGTTTCAAGATTCAGGGCTCAAGAAAATCTTTAACTTAAATGTTTAGGAGCACGCTTAATGGGAATGACAGATTTTCCCACTTCTGCTTAATGAGAAGCTTCTTGCACATTGCTCTGAAGCCACCCATGGCAAGGATCTAATCTCCAAAGAGACTGGATCCAGCCTGCAGCACAGGGAATCAGTGCCAAGGAGCTCAGTCCAGTGTTTTCCCTTCCCTGCTCTGCACCATGCTACCGATCCCCCTCCATACCTACTCTCTCTCTCTCCTCCCTTTTAGCGGGCACTCTTACCAGAAGTAAGCTCTCTCCTTCCCTCTGTCCTATTGCATATATTGTTTATCTGGGGTAAACTCTCTTCCTCTCAGTCCCTCTCTCCCTCTGACATTGGCAGTCACCTCTCCCCCTCTTCCCCCCACCTGCTCTACCATTGGGGAGTGGTAGCCCACAGTGCGGCTGGGTCACAGGGACCCAGTCCACCACTCTAATAGTTTGAACACCACTGCTCTGAAACATCAGGTGCTGGATCTCATCAAACAGGATAGCAGACTAGATGGACCACAGGTCATATCCAGTATGGTAGTCCTTTGGTTCCTATTTTTCAGGAAAAGCATGCTGTATTATACCCAGCTTTCACAAGGTTCTGAATTTCAGATAATTGGGAAATAGACTTGTACACAATGGGATTAAAAAACCCCCAAACAAACAACTTTAGTAGGCATGAGTTTTTTCCTCAAAATATTTTCATGTATTCATCTGTTTTTCTTATTTTATTTGTTCATGTTATTTTATCATTGAAATAAAACAATTCTGATGTGACCAGAGTACCTGCCAATTACAACGAAGCCTTTTTTTTATTATTTCCAGAAACCAGAGGGACGCCCTACCTTTCAAGATTTGCTTCACATAATTGATGAGATAGCAGAGAGTGAAGATGCTTTCTGAAGAGGAATGGCAGAGTGAAAAGAAGTCCCTGAGGCAGGAAAGAATCCACTTTCCATTCAGAAATGCAGCAAATTTTCCTTCCCTTTTTAAGGGCTCAATCCTTCAAGCTGCTGAAAGAAATTGTGGAATGGCAGAGCATTGATAATCACTTAGCATTTGGTCAGTCTCCATGGAGGAAGAGTTCTCACATAATATAGAGGAACATGCACAATACGCTCAGCTGTAGCAGTGAGAAGGCACAGAGACAGTGTAGGCAAGTCTCTGTGCCTTCTCTGACAAGTTCCTAGTGGGGTGGTGAACAGGTGGAAAATTGGTCTTGATAGGTGGAGGAACAGACAGCTTGTGGCCAATGCAGAACATAGGCAATCCAGTAAATGTAAATCATGTATATAGTGTTCATATCCATGAGTTTCATTTAGTCTTGCTGCTAGTCAGTAGTTGTTGTAGCTACCTGCATACTTAACAACTCAGCACAGCGTTACCATAAAGGGCCAGTTACTGACAGGAAGGTTTCCAGTGGTTTGCCAGAAATATTTCTGATTGCAGTTGATGGACATTTGTGACGTACACTGAAACAATGTTCTTCCTATGCCATGAACCTGTGATATCCACTTGGCTTCTTCATTTGTACATAAAAAAGCATGATCTGCAACCCATTCTACTGGCTCACTGAAACAGTCAAAGGAATTGCTGCAGAACCAATCGACAACTTGTTTTATGCCAAAAAATGTTTTGGGGAGTTTTTGAAAGAGCTCCCAGACTCTGTCCTGAGTCTAAGCATAATGAGAAACTTCAGGATACAACACAACTGACTCATTGCACTATAGAACAATGCATTTGATTAACTGTTAAATTATATATTGTATGTAATGTAAATATAGACTGTATACATTTAATTTATATTAAATGTAAGTGTTTGCTTCTTGAATATTTTAGGACACAACAGGTTCAACCTACCATAACTTGCACATACAACGTGACACATGGCATCTGTGAATGATAACAAGATACCGGGAAGTGTGTTAACCTGGAAGGTTTTTATCATTCTGTCCCTGGTCAGTCGTTCATAGACTGAAATAAGCGTAATATTTTTAATAGCAAATGCCATGTTATAGCATGTGTATAATAAATCAAATAACTGTTTGTTTGGAATCCTGAATAGTGTTTTGCTATTGATTTTATCAAATTACATTAATCTATAAGATAAGCTCCTAGCTAGTGTGACTCCATTGATTCAGCATAGTGCACCAGTGATGAATAAAGCTAAATATATAGAGGTACATGATTTCATTGCTTAGACAACTTCAGGTCAGCCCAACTTTAAATCAAGTAGTAGGCAACCATCAATCCTCTGGATCATGGTGTATGCGTAAGTGGTCTAGTCAGGTGCCCGATGAATCTGCTTGTATAGAGTCCTGCAACCATCACACCAAGACCTTTGATGCGTATGACTAGGCAAGAGTATGGAGGAGTGGAGGCTGCCCAAGACCTACCGTTTGCCTTGAGACCATTGAGACAGAATCCTAAGACCAGATTGAGTCCTGACATTCAGTGCCTTAATGGCTGTAGTTTCTGCCAAAGCAACAGATAAGACTACTGTTGACTGCCTAATGCCTCAGCAAGGGTGCCTTTCTGTCAAGAGTTTTGTCCCTTAGCTGTTCTCCACCCAGAAAGTAATCGCAAGGCAGTGGAGGGTAGGGTTTTGGGGCTCCCTATGCCCACCTTACTCTGGTTGCAACACTGAGATATTTTATAGACACTATCCCACCATGAGTAATCCCACCACATTGCCACCAGGCCCTCCAGTCAGATGCAGTTTATGGTCATATCCAGGACCATTTAGATCAAGCAATTATAAGGGGAGCTATTCCTAATCAGTTTGCCTCATGCTTTCCACTATAAAAATTGTTGTAAGCATTTTTGAAAATCCATTGTTTTCTTCAGGTCTCCAGATTGAGCAGGGAAAAGGTCTTTAGTTTAGAAAAGCATTTTTTAATTTATTATTATTGCATGAAATTCTGTTCCAATTTGACTGAGATAAACACTAGAAACAATATTTCCTCTTCCTTGCTGGTGTTCCTCAAAAAAAAAATAGACTGCGTGAAGAAATAGGTCAACGCAAATGTATGAAAGACTTGGATCCAAACCTCTTCCACCACTACGGCAGTGCCAGCACTACTCCTCTTTGTACTGGGAAACCCTGAAGTGCTCCAGAGCAGCTGTGGGTGGTATTTAGAAGACTGAATGTAAACCACTCCTCTCTAATTGTTATCCAAAATATGGTTCCTGTGTCACCTTATCCCCAGTTCTTGGAGAGGGGATTTCTCAAACATATCTGAGGATGTAAAATGGTAGAGCTGTTGCAATGATGTATGTTTTTGTAGTGTTGAAGTAATGGTTGTAGCAGTGATGGTCAAGGAAGTATGTGAGAAGTAGGAACTATTGTGGGTGGGTTTTGGTATTTTTTATTGAACCAATTGCATGGTTGGGATAGATTTAGACAAGCTTTTGGGTATCACAGTATCCTTCAGGCCTCTGGGAGAGAAGCAGACACAGCACAGCTAAGTAGCAGATGGAACAAAAGCTTGGGTATAAAACTCCATATATTAACAAAAGCAGGTCATAAAACTATCAGGTAGCCAACAGACGAGACGCAGCAAAAACCTGAGGTCATGAGAGATCAGTGAGTATGAAGTAGATTGTAATCAGGTATAATGATAAACTATAATAAAAGGTATCATACATTCTTGCCTCTCTTATAACGATACATGCCATTTTCTTTTTAAAAATAAGAAAAAAAAATACACCAGAAAGTAGGAAGTTGTATTAAAAGGAATGGAGGGTGGGAATTATTTGGATTGCAAATTTGAGTATGTGAAACTCAGGAAACATCAAATTTAGTTTGTAGTGAAATCTAATTCTGTCTCCAGGGCATGAGTGTTATGGTAGTATTGCACGATCTAATAAAAAATGTTTTCCATAGGATCTCTGACTCATTTAATACACTAGATGGGTGCACAAAAGCAGAATTAATCCTAAATCTTCAGTGTCTTCCACTTGAAGATGACACAGACAATCATAAATCTTCAGTATCATCCACTTGAAGTTAAGAAAGTTAAGAAATGACAACTAACCTAAAATCAGAGAAGTAGGGCTGAAAGGGACTTCAGGAGGCCATCTAATCCAATTACAGGATTATACTTGTCTAAAACATCCCTGTCACATATCTGTATAATTTGCTCTTTAAAACTTCCGGGAATGTCTCCTTGCCAAAAAGGAGGCTTACTACCAATGGAAAGGAGGGGTCATCACTAAGGAGGACTATTCAGCAGTTGCTTGGGGATGTAGGGG